CTCCCTCCCTCCCTCGGTATTATTGTTGGATTTCCATATTCCACTAAGTCAATGGAGGATAACTTGAAAAGACTTCAAGAGGCCTTCAATAATAATAGTGTAGAGGTTTCCCAGAAGAGGCAGAACAACTTTTAAAACTGTTTTGAAGCATTTGGGGAGATTTTAAGGATGACAATAGAATAGGGACACCTCTGAAGACAAACTACTCTACCAAAATGGGCCAAAAGGGGAAAAAAATGAAAACATGTCAATGAATTTTTCAAATACTCCAACTGGACATCCATTTCTATATTTATTTTTAAAAAGAAAAAGAAACATTAAATTCATATAGAATGGATAGTTAACATGCAGTGCATATTTTGTGTTTGAGGAGATTTTTAGAATGGGAATTTTAATACAAAAATACCCTGAGTTTGTTAGGAAAGTTATTTTACTAGGTTAGAGAGAAAGTGAGAAGATGGGAAAGAACAAAGGGAGAAGTGAACAGAGGTTTCGATGAAATCAGTTTGGAGGAGTGAATTACTTTGAAATAGTTAGTGTGGGTAAAATATTGAACACAGAAAGAATCTTTTCTTTAAAAAAAATGAGTTAGTTGGAATGGTCTGTGATAAGGTGCAGCATGGCACAAAGTATAGATCCAGGCTGCTGGAAACTGCTAGCAAAATGATAGGAAAGTGTTCTTTTCTCTTTTCAGTACATTGAATGCACAATCTTACATTTGGTTGTCAACCATTAGAGGCTGAGGTCACAGAGTATGCTGGGCAAACCCAAATAAATAAAATGATGATTTAGTGTGACACATGAACCAGGCCAAGAAGCTGCCGTGGACGGAGTCTCAAGCCTGTATAATTCATTGCACTTTGCTGCACCTTAGGAGTAATAGTGCATCCTAGGCACTCTGATTAAAGCACATTAAGTGAGTTATTGACTCAAGTAAATATAATGGCTCTCCTTATAACCCAGTTGCCAGTCATGGAGCCATTTGGCCAAAGTTACTTTCATTAGTGCACCATAAATTATAAAACAATGTCAATACACCTGCAATAAATAGTATTATAAAATTAGATGAGGTGGATAGGATTGCCAAATTGTGCTAATATGATGGCATTATGAGGGAGTAGGAATACTGCTGGCCTAAATAAAAAGTGCCTATTAAATCTTCAATGCTGTTCAACATAAATAATTTTTGTTTCTTTTCAGTTCCTTTCTAAATTACACATATAAACCCTATATAATAATGCTAAATCTTCTAAGATGCCACACACATAATACTAGGTTCCTAAAGGCAATATTAACAAGCATGGTCCTCCATTATTTCTCTATGCATTCTTAGTTTCACAACAAGAAAAAAAAGAGGAAATTTAGGGCTCATATTCTCCTAACCACCATGTGAACATTATCGGATAATAATCTCTTATGTAGTGTCTGTAGTGATGTTGCCTTTGTTTTATCCCTAGTCCGCTGCTGAGGCAGTTTAAAGACATTTTTAGTTTTTTTTCATAGGGTTTCTCTCCCACTTTTCTTGATACAATTTTTGCCATGAACACACTTTAGGATGCTTAATCAAGAATGAGGTTGCTGGAGTGGTCATGGGAGGAATCTTCCCAGTTCCTATTAATTACTTTAGGGTATTAGCATTCAGTTGTCCATTCTACTCACTAAAAAGTGCCCTTCAGAACTGTTTGGGCTTAGACTATAGCAAACACACGGCTTCTTACAGAGATCATGCAGACGTGCCCACACAGAAGCTTAACCAGAGTTTCCTAAAGGTTTCTTATAAGCAGAAATTTATAACCCTTTGAAAGAATGCTAGGCTTATTTTTAAAATCCAATTTCAATATTTTAAAGAAGTCAATAGATGATGCTGAAAGGCAGGGCAAAGGCATCCAGAAAAACCAATCAGTCACTTTTCTTAACTGATCTCATTTTAAAACAGTAGAGACAGCAGTACCATTAGTCACTGTTAGTTTATAGAGGAAACTCTAAGGGAAAAAAAGCAAGGAAATGGATCTACTCAACAAATTTGAAGTGCAACTCAATATCTCAATGGCGTAAAGACAGGCCAATAGGAACAAGAAAGAAGAACAAGGATCCTATAATTGGGGCATTGGGACAGTGAATGTCACCATTGGTAACACTAGGAACTTTATTGTATTGCTTTTGCTATAAGCTGCTTAGATTCATACTGTTTGAATCTTGTAATAAACAACAAACTATAGTATAGTAGGGAAAACAAGAGTCCTGGTGGTGAAGGGGTTAGAATGCAGCATTGCTGGCTAACTCTGCCCACAGTCTAGTGTTCAATCCTGACAGGGCTCAAGGTTGACTCAACTTTCCATTCTTCAAGGTCAGTAAAATGAGGACCCAGTTGGTTGGGAGAATGTAATGACATTGTAAACCACTCAGAGAGTGCTGTAAAGAACTATAGGGTAGTATATAAGTTCTAGGTGCTATTGCTATAATGTGCTGATATAATTACAGGAGTTACCTTGACAAGGGGAACAAATAAATTTATAATAAATAAATTGGCAAGTGAGCGGGGAGGGAGTCTTGTGTGTTACTGCTGAGCTCTATGAGTTGTAACACTCTATGAGTGTTGAATGCAAGTTGTGTTTTTATTATTTTACTTTGTTCACATACTGTTTATTTTTGAATTGCACCCCCTCCCTAATGATTGTAAGCCGCCCTGAGTCCCCTCAGGGAAAAGGGCGGCCTATAAATCCTAATAAATACAAAATACAAATACAAATACAAACTTCTGTACTTCTGATCATTAGAAATTTAGATGATCCCACAAATCCGAATCTTTTTTAAAGAAATAAAGTGGGGTTTTAAAGTCAGATGTAAAGTGTTAGCATGTTAAGCTTTATAGCCTTGCATAAGATAAATGGAGTATTTACTAACAATATTGCATTTTTCTATTTGTACAACAGTAAAAGAGGTTATTTTCCTTTTGGGGGAATTTAAATAGTTTTATATGAGGGGCAAGTTTCATTCTCCAACCTTAAAAATTGATTTCTGAATGTTTTGTTACCAATCTAGATAACATCTTCAGTAAAGTTTAGGGAATGTCAGTGTCAGTGTACTTTTATTTATAAGGGCTTCTGGTGTGGGTGTGTCAAGTGAGGGTCTTGTGGTGGGTCTTGTGATGGGTCAGATGTGAATCATCTGTGAGTTTTGTGATGGGTCTTGTTTGGTTGAGAGTTGGTGCTTGGTTGAGGGTTGGGGGCTTGGTTGAGGGTTGGGGGCTTGGTTGAGGGTTGGTGCTATCTCTGGTTGGATGTGCAGTTGATTTGGATTTTGAGCAGGGACGTGCAGTCACTAGAGGCAGTGGAGGCGAGGCCTCACCAGTCTCCTGAGGGAAAGGAAAGAATTTTAAAGATTTTTTTTTAAATAATTAAAGCCAGGGTAGTTGCTACCAAATTCCAAGTCACAGTGGCTTGGTGTCTGCTCAGTGTTACCTATAGGAGGAGGCCAGAGAACTCGGGGCCTCCTTTGTATAAGGAATTTTTTGCCTTTTAAAAGTTAAGAAAGGGTTAAAAAGCAAAAAAAATTGTACGCAAAGGAGGCACTGATTCTCACGCCTCCTGATCTGGGAGCAGCGAATCATGTCTGTGCAAGGGCACTTGAGCGACTGCGCAATCTAGCAGTTTCCATCAAGGGTGATTCTGGGGAGGTTGCTCTGGGCCGCCAGCCACCGTTTCTTCAGCATCAATTTCTTCTTTGCCTGGCATTTTCTACTGGGCGGCTTGGTGCCTTTGCTGCAGACCTGGGTCTTGGTGGCTCCCGCGATGCAAAGTGCCCCGCTGGGCACTTTGCATCGTGGGAGCCACCAAGTGCGGACATTCCCGCTGCCCCGGCCTGCAGCCAGCCCAGCATGGAGTGGGGAGGATGAGGAGGAGGACGAGGAAGAGAAGAGCGGTGAGTCCTTGTGCCGGCCGGTTGGCCAGGCGGGGAGCAGGTTGGGTAGGGGTTGGGTGGGCTGGCTGGCTGGGGAGGGGGGATCATGGCTGCTCAGATGGCAACCTGCCGCTGCCGACAGCAGCTTGGGTGTCCTGGCACCGTCTGAGCTGAAGAAAGCGGAGGATTGTTTGTCAGAGGAGGTGGGGGGGAGCAAGGCGGTGGGGCGTGATGGCAGGAAGAAGCAGCTTGGACAGAGCCAGCCCACCCCACCCCCACCCGACCTGCTCCCTCACCCAATTTTGTAGATTATATTATTTATTTCAACCCTCTGTATTTTGTCTTTGGTTCTGGATAGTTCCTGATGAAGTGTGGCTATAGGTTGGTGGGCTATTCCTATTCCTAGAGGTTGGAGGATTCTAGGTGTCATTTCCACTAGAATTAGATGTTACCTAGTCTGGTAATGAAACTTTTGAAAACCAATCCACAAGCTCACAGAACAAACTTTCACCACCCAAACTACATATATTCACTATTCTAGTTTTATATTTCTATTTACTCTCAATTAAAATTTGTGTTGACGGCCTGTTTATCTTATTTCAGATCAGATAAAACTCTACAGGATATAGTATATAAACTGGTGCCAGGACTCTTCAAAGGTATGAATATGTGACTGCTGAGAGTTTAGAGAATATAATTTGGGATAGAGCTTCCTAGCTGACATATCACAATGCAGCAATCTTGATTTTATTTTGATTTTGATTGATTTCTAATAAGGGGTTGATAAATAATAGTACATAATTATTGAGATAAAAGAATTTTGAAAAGTATCTTTGGACTTAATGCAAACCAGATTGCAGATTCTTTTTTATAATATAATTGCCTAATTGTTTCTGAATAATAAATGAATTTGCAAAATGCAAGAGAAGGATGCCACTAAATGAATTACCTTGGCTTTCATTTGTAGATGAAATGAAGAGGCGACGTGATTTTTATGCAGCATATCCCCTGGCTGACGGTATGATGTCTGCCTCAATTGTCTTCTGTTGTATGTCAACATGCATTTTAAAAAACAGGTGTGATTTTCATTCCTTCTTTTCTTGTTTAGTTCCCAATGGATCCAATGAAGACAGGGGTGAAGTTTCAGAACAGGATAAAGGAAACCTAACAGATGATGAAACGGTCAGCTTGTCCATTGAATTCTATGAAGGAATCAGGTAACCATTTAGGGAATATAAAAGAAAATATATTTTGTTGACATTTTTTCTGACATTAGATCATTATAGTTTTAATATTTTTATCTGTTTTCAGTTACTTGAAAAATGGTTCAGTATTATTTAACTGCCCAAATTTTGGGTACAGATAGTCCTCAATTTCTGACCACTCATTTAATAATGGTTGGAAGCTACGATGGCCTCAGAAAAAATGACTTTCAACCTGGCCTCAAAGTTATGACTTTTGTGCCACCTCTATGATTATGATTTCAACTTGGGGTTTGGTAAACAGTTCATATTTATAATGGTTAAAGCATGATGTGATTGTGTGATCATGATTTGTGATTTTCCCAGTCAGCTTCTGACAAGCAAAGTCAATTCAGGAAGCCAGATTAGCTTAACAATCACGTGATTTGTTTAATGTCTATGTGATTTTGTTAATAATCATGGTATAAATGGTTGTAAAAACCAGATCTAGTTGCATAATGACTCACTAAAGACCACACTGCTTAACAACTGAAATTCTGAAATCAATTGTGGTCATAAGTTGAGGACTATCTGTATCCTTGTCCGTATTCATCTCATAATGTAATCAGTATGTATAAGTTAGAACTAAACAAAAGCAGACCCAAGGGAAAGATTTAATTTGTACATTAAATTCTTACTTTTGTTGAAAAGAATTAATTTTAACTAATTAAGTGCCAAAGCAATTACCATAATTTTCGGAGTATATGATGTATCTTTCCCCTCCCCCCTAAAAGAGCGTGGAAATGTTGGTAGATCTTATACACCAAATACATCCATTTTTGGCCTCCCAAAGCCCCTTCCCCGGATCCCAATTTTATGAAAAATAGGCAAAAAATGGGCCAGTTTTCACCAAAATGGGGGCGTTTTTGCCTTCTCCCACCCCCGAGACGCATTCTGCAGGCTTTAGCAGGGCTGGAGGAAGGGAAAAGGGCCCCCATTTTAGTGAAACACAAGCAAAAATGAGACATTTTTCACCAAAACGGGGGTGTTTTTGCCTTTCCCCAACCCCCAGAAGCACTTTGCAGGCTTTAGCAGGCTGGGGGAAGGGAAAAATGCTCCCATTTTGGTGAAAAACTTGGGGGCATTTTTGCCTTCCCCCATCCCTGCTGAAGCCTGCAGAGTGCTCCTGAGGGCCAGGGAGGACAAAAACTTGGTGTGTCTTATACACCGGTACCTCTTATAGTCTGAAAAATACGGTAATGGGCATATTGGGTGCAGGAAGGGAGAAAAGGACTCTTTAGGCACACAGCCAGTATCTCAGCCACACAGGATGTTATGAAACAGCTAACTAATCTGCAAACATCAACTCCATCAACTTAATCAAGATATTACAACACAGCCAACCAATCTGCTTACAGCAACAAAGCCAGCACTACCCCCCACCCACACACCAGTATTTATAGAGGGGCGGCAGCTCCGATCATGCTTTGCTTGCACAGGCACGAGGTCGAAGACACCAGCCTGAGGATGAGTGGGACCTCATCGAAACGTCGCCAAAATACTCTCAATCTTATACAGGAAAAGACCCGAATACACCAAAACCTGCATAGGCATGCAAACATATATATATGTTTGTATATGTATATGTACACACCCCATTATATATATATATATATATATATATATATA